GAAGAATTCTTGCACTATATACGACGTAGTACAATAACATCTGTTTGATAAAAAGCATGTGCTTACAATTATGGTAGACTTTAGCAAGGCATTTGATGTGTTAAATCATGAAATATTATATAAAAAAATGATGCAGAATGGTATACAGGGCCCACTGCTGGACTGGTTTAAAAATTATCACCATAAAAGATTTAACACTGTCAGTATAAACGGTGTTCATAGTGACTTAATTCCTACCGTATGCGGAACAGCACAAGGCTCAATTTTGGGGCCTACTGAGTATCTTATTTATGTCAACGATATGTGTAACATATTCAGGTAGAGCTCTGTATACCAGTTCGCTGATGATACTTGCTTGATAACTGCACACCGAGATATACAAGTCGCCCAATGTATGATGCAGGACGAATTTAATAAGCTATGTAAATGGGCACACGATCTGGGTCTGTCTATTAATTTTCAAAAAACCAAACTTTTATATATTCACTCACCATACCTTAAATGTAAACATGTACCACAGGTAGTGGCTCATGACCATAATTGCATGCATTCTCGGTATATTAGTTGTCACTGTAAACCATTAGAATTAGTAAAGGAACATACCTATCTCGGATTAAAAATTGACCATAAATTTAATTGGGGTCCCCATGTCAAATATGTATGTAATAAGCTTAGGGCAATACTTGCTAAGTATGTATCCTTAAGCAAAAACTTCCTTATAATACATTAAGATTATTATATATGGCACTAGCAGACTCTATAATTAATTATGGTATTTCCAGCTATGGACGTACATACAAAACTTTTCTTTTAAACATTTATAATCTGCAAATAAGGTTGTTAAAGACCATAGTACCTCTGAGGATTAAATTTAAGTATAAAGATAATTATGACCAACTATTTCGGTATTGCAATGTAATGAGTGTATTAGACAAAGTTGATTTTGCAATTATATCAGAAAATTGTGAAAATATTAAGTCACTGAAAACCAAAGTAAGACCGGATTGTTTGCGCACTTTATCACATCTTCCTATCTATGAAGTTCCAAATTGTAATAATTTTTATGGTGAGAGAGTTTGGATGTGTAAACTCCCGCGAATATTAAACAATCTACCAAGGTTCCTTGTGGATTTGTTAGATAATAGAAAGCCCGTGCAAGTAAAGAACATTCTAAAAAAATTTTATACAACGGACAAATACAAATAACAATGATAAGAATGATTTATATACAACCTAACCATTAAACGCAACTACATTATTAATAGGTTATATAATCTTTAATTTTAAGATTCAACCGTAAACTAGTATCATTTATGTATTTTTTTTTATTGAAATAAACAGTTTAAATTTTAAAATTTTAATTTTTTTTTTTTACATCATACGTTCATAAATAAATAGCATGTTTCATTCATCATTATGGTCAAACGACAGTATCAGACACTAAATTTTGATAAAATACTTTGACTGTTGGGTTTTGACTGTATCCATTCATTTATATATTATAGAAACAAATAATTCCTAAAAAACAAATTCTTGAATTGGTTATAATTAACTGACTTCTGTTCACAGAAGCTACGTTAACGTTATCCATCAATCGTAAAATAAATATCTTGTGGGTAGAAATAAAATCACGCCATTCAGCTCATGACTCGTGACTCCCGAGGCTATAAGGAGCCAGTCGTTTTAGTCCTTTTAGTCGTTTTAGTCCTACACCTTCACTACCTTATGAAGCTTAAAAGACTTCGATTCGAATTAGTCTTCAGTTTTAGTCTTATGACTAGGACTTGAGGGTTAAAAGAGTAGACTAGTCGTGAGGCGTTAAAAATTAGTCGAGGTTTTTTAAAAGGCCTTAAAAGACCGAGTCTCTTTCATCACTTGTTTTAAATACATATAATTGTGTGTGGTTAATGTTTGTATGACTCTAAAACTGAACTTCGACATACGCTACTCCGACTATATATTACTTCGACGTGACTTTAGTCAGACATTACGCTACTTCGACAATCAACACAGTGTGATACTTCTTAAAAAGTCTTTGTACCCCGTTATATTTTGTGTTTTTACTCCTAAATCTGTTTTATTTTTGCTTATTTAAGTTTGTTTTATTCGCCTGTAAACCAAAGTCTCCAAATAAACCATTTTTCTTTCTTTCTCTCTTTCTTACGTTCTTTCTTTCGTTGTTTCTGCTTGTCTTTCTGTATTACTCACGTTGATGGTCGACTATGCAAACGGGCCTTTATGCTTGTTATAGAATTATTAATATAAGAACTTATTCATAGGAATTAACTCTTCGTATTTGCTAATAAATCGAAAAAGGCGCAATTTTGTTGCGGAATTCGGTAGAAAGAAATTAGTGAACACAGGAATCTGGCCAAATAGAGCCATCTCTAGACAAAACTGAACACTGCTTATTTTTATAAACGTTTAAACGTTGTTGTAGCTTTTAAAAAAAGCTTTTATACACTATGAAACTTAAAAAATCGTTTAGAAAAACGAAAGCTCATAGACTTTTAAGTTAAAACAGCTTGCAACGTTGCGTTGATAGCGAAAAGCAATAGCAGACCACTAAAGGTTTTAAGTTAACTAAGCTATTTGTAAAACACGAGTTTTATTTTTATCTATAAAATTATTATTCACATTGACAAATTAATTTGTTTAGGAAACATAGTTAGTTGGTGCCTTTTTTTGTAGACTCTAAGGGGCCCGTTGGTTTCTTTGGGAAGGAAAATGTGCGCGGTTTGGGTCCGGAGAGATGGTTTCATTTTAAGATATATGTTTAAATTTTTTAGTTTTGGCACGAACTTTCGTGCCTGTAGGGCAGGACCTCTCGCTGCCGAGTGTGGTTGCCGCCATGCTCGATAGCGAGGAGTCCTGGGAGGCGGTGGCCTCCTTTTGCGCAGAGGTTATGTCGCAAAAGGAGGCTGCGGAGCGGGTGCGCGAGGACGCGGCAGACGCGCACCCGCCTCGGCGCAGATGTACGGGGAGAAGTCGAACGCAGTTCGCTACTCGCCTGATTCCCTAGAGGCCAGCGGGCTCTGGACAGGGACTCCGGAGCCTGCATTGCACGACCTCACTCGTCTGGGGGGCGGGTCGGAGGACAACCGACTCGCCCCTCCGTTGGCACGGGAGCCCTGGCGCAAGCTAGGGCGGCCGGGCGGCGTCGTGGTGAATGTTCACCGATCCCACGGCGCCGACTCAACCGGCGAGAGGGAAACCCGGGGGGGTTTTAGTGGGGTAGGCCCTCCAGTCTGGAGGGAGAGTCCCCACATAACCCCTGAGTCTCCCTGGGCTCTGGGCTCAGAGGTATCCATAAAGATTTCCCCCCCGTCGAAAAAAAAAAAGGTAGGTACTTTCGTGCCATCTCATCCCATTTAAGTTGGTCCAACTGAAAACCAGCGCTGCAGCAGCTGAGCTATGACATATATGCTGAGTTGGATCCCTTTCAGCCTGTATTTATGTAACCTTCAATTTATTTTATGTAAGTGTTAATATTGCTGAATAAACGCTTCTTTCTTTATTTTCTTTTTAATATATAATCAATTCATTTTACACATTTAACTGCTGGCCACGAGTATTCTCTCAGTAGAAGATATAGGCTAGCTCCATGCAGGTTTGGGACTTTACATGTTTTCCAAGGGTTCTTCAATATGCAGATGCAACTACACATTCACAAATGTACGTAACTTAGAATTTAAGATTATAGGTTGAAGCGGCCACGGGAATCGAACCGTCGACCTCCCAATCGAGAACTATCCGTTCTCTCACAGCTCTATTAATAACGATTTAATACTCGATGACAAATTACAGGAAAATATGAAGGAAACCGCATTGAAATAACTATGTACAATAAACATTTGCTGTGAATATTATTGGCGTTATATTCTTCATAATTTCATAGTCAAGGCGTTGTCTTTACAAAATTTTTGATAGAAAGCGTATTTAGATCAAAATGGGGAAACTTCTTGCGTGCACAGTTAGTATTGTAACATTACTAGTTGTAGTGATGGTAACATTTTTAGTAAGGTCCATTAATTTGTCATCTAGCATAAGTGAACGTGAGTATCAATCTCATGAGGTGATTGATCTTCAAGAAGTACACTTTCGAAGTTACTTGAAGAACTTTTCTAAGAATTACGACTACTACGAATATGAGCTACGTTTACACAATTTCAAGGTACGTATCAATGCTTTGAATATTGAATTGAAATTTAAAAAGGGAACCCTGCCCTCCTTGTCCTAAACAACGCATTTGCATTTTCGTAACTTTCGAGATATTGGTTCTTACAGTTTCTTTAAAAAATCGCACATGAAACCATATATAGGTATTGTATTGCATTGCTAAAAAAATTGGAATTGTGAAAACACAATTCGAAACAAAAAATACTGAATGGATTATAAATGCGAATAATGTGATTATTTTTATTTATACATAATACTTAATTATCCATTTATAAACGACAAAAAGGGTCGTATTCCAGAACTCTACTCAATGCTCAAGTCAGGACTTGAGCAGACTTGAGTATGATTTCAAGCACTGGAAATACGACCTAATGGCAAGGACTTGAATATGATTTTCAGTGCTTTAAATCATACTCAAGTCCTGACTGGGGCATTGAGTAGAGTTCTGAAATACGACCCTAACAATTGGTTTCGTGTGCGAATATTGAGTTACTCTAATTTTGCTTAACAATAACACTGAAACCAAATAAGATATAAAAAAACTGCTTATTGGGACTGATTCCAGATTGTTAATAACCCAATTTCGCTAAAAACGTCATTGCGTTTGTTTGTGATAAGGATAATGGAGAACTGAATATTTTTTCGGATCTAGAGTGTATTTCTACATGGCTGATCTTGGGACATGTGAATAATCAAGAAATGTTGGTTTGATATCAAAAAATATTACTTCAACAAAATTACGGTTTTCATTTCGACAATATTTTATTTACCTCATGTATTTCCTCTATACTGTATTCTGTATTTCTTGTTATAACAAAAATAATGATGAAAATATACAATAAAACAAAAAATAAATACGATATAAAAAAACCGCTTATAGGGGTGTAGAGCTCGTTTTGCTGATTCCAGATACGCTAATAACTCAATTTTGCTAAAAACGTCGATTACGTTGGCTATGATAAGGACTGTTCACCGAGGCTATTGTTAATTTTGAAGGTATTTTGGTTAATTTTAAGGTGTTTTTAAGGTTATGTTGTATATATTAAGGTATAAAATAAATTCGTATGATGAGACTATAGTGTTTGTCTGTTAATCAGATAAAATATGTTGAAATTTGGTCAACGCAGCACGTTGCTCAGAATGCGGGTATTGTTACTTCTATAAATGGCTTTGCTAAAGGGCCCTATATACCGACATTTCCTCGTTTCGGTCAATCGTCACGATAATTGTATCGATCCGTCGCTGCTAGTGTTGTAAAAAAACTCAAGTCCGGAAGTGTACATTTTAGGACTCGACTCCAATTCACAAGACTCGACTCATAAAGACAGAGTCTCACTGCTCGATATATTACGAGCCTATCGAGTTTCCGAATAGACTCGAGTTCGACGTTAGTGTTCGAGTCTATTATATGTGACGAGTCGCGCTCGAGTTAAAATTTGTTTTTGTAACATGTCGAGCTCGAATCTGGTAGTACTGTGGGAGCGTAGCCTTGGTTATAGCGCAGTGAGAGGTGCTATTTAATATTAAACGAGGAACATAATCATAATTAAACATTCATTGTGAGCGCTCAGTTGGAAGACTCGTCAAGAACCCCCCGATCTTCCTTCGACAACAATCCTCTTTTTTTATCTAGTTCTAAATACAAAATAATATAATCTATCCAGCATAGCAGTGCCTACCCACTGAGCTGTTTTGTTGTGGTGTGTTAAACTGTAGTATAATAACTGGTATAATTATCTAAGCATCAATATCTTACATTTTTTAAATCACAACATTGGGTTTTTGTTTTTTATTTAATTCGTGGGCAAGTTGCTCTATAAAATTCCAAAAACTGGTTGTCGTACTTTGTAAGTAGAAGTCGCTTCGAGCTTTTTAGACTCGTGTCCGTGCTCCAGTGACTCGCGCTTGACTCGTGTGAATGTTTTAGGCCACCGAGTCGTGCAAAATAAGTCGAATTTATAAATGTATACCCCCAGACTCCAGTTTTTTACAACACTAGTCGCTACTCTCCTGGCGTTCATAAACGAAACGATTGATCGTTGCAATCGAGAGGAATCATTCTCTTTTGAAAAGAACTGTTAGTATGTACCATATACATAAATGGAAAGCAAACTTCTATACATTACCTAGTCAGCAGTAAATTCAATAAACAAAGAAAGAAAAGAAAAATGTGGGTTAAGTGATTAGTGTTAGGTATAACAAATATACAATTATATTTAAATACATGATATATAATTATGTTGGCATTAACACAGATAAGAAATCTTTCTCTTGTTGCGCCTGGAAAGTAACTAATTGGTCTCAACAAAGATATTCATGCACATGCTACTTCTACTTCTCTCAGACGTAGGTATGGAATGGCACGAGGAAGGTCGATAGATTGAAAAGATCCAGAAAAACTTTGTAACTGTCATTAGAATAACAAAAATGTGTTTTTTAACAACTTATCCATATAATAATATAAATAATTTAGTAGCAGTCGAGCTATTTGTGAAAGAGTTCGTCCAGAGAAGTACTGCCATCTTACCTATTTCTGCCGCCAAGCAGCGATGTCAGCATTAATGTGTTCCGGTTTTGAAGGGGAAGGGTACTGGTGAAATTACAGGCACGTGAGACTTGTCAACTTATGTGTCAGGGTGACGGACGCAGTGGCAGTGTCCCTCCGATCTATGCGATTTATAGTTCTGAGTGGCATTGCAACTGTTATGGACAGGCGTGTTACTTGCCATCAGGCGCACGACTTCTTCTCGTTCTTGAATTATAAAAAAGAAAAAATAATAAAAACCTAAAGCTGACTTTTTGAATTCTGCCAAATCTTGACTGATGATTACTGAATGAACATTCATTATCATTATCATCAACCCATTTGTACGTCCTACTGCAGGGCAAAAGTCTCGTCTCAGCTGAGGGCTTAGTGTGGGGGATTGACACGTTTTCCGAGGGTTGTGAACATTCTTCGACGTGCAGGTTTCATCACGATGTTTTCCTTCAACGAAAAGTTTATGGTAAATTTCAAATTATGTTTCGCACATAAATTCCGAAAATCTCAGACGTGCGAACCCGGATTCGAACTCACAGCCTGTGGGACGCGATAGGTTCAACCATTAGCTATACTAACCCTTTGCAAACTGCCTACGTGACCGAACGGTTACCACGTCGAACTGCCACGCAGAGGTCCTAGCTTCGATTCCCGGGCCAGGGGAAATATTAAATTTGTATGGTCTACATTTATTTCTCTCGTGAGTTTGGGTGTAATTTATGGTTGTCTATGTGTGTGTCCATGGCACCCGTGACACAGGGTTTCCCTAGTGCGGGGCTATGTTGAGTGTGTGCGTGAGTGTGCGTTATTGATTAGGATATCAAGGCTTTTATATTTTTTTAATTTTATAATATTGGGTCTTTACGTTCCCGATGGGTATGTGGGGCGCCGGCGCCGATTTGAACTGTTGGCGATTCCTCGTGGGAAAACAAATCTGCTGAACAGGGCTCTACTGACACAAGGGATGACGACTTTGAATATTATTGATGGGAAAATTCACCTATTTGCCTGTTCTTTGCGTGATTTCAATAAAATAGGTTTATTTGTAATATAATAACAGTTTGTAATGTAATATGGTGTAATATATTTTTAGTAGATACAACATAATTTTGAATGTAATATTAATGTAATAATTAACAATATTGAACAAGTGATAATGTTGGCTACACTATTGCATTAGGTTAGTCCTGTAATGATAGTTGCTGGCTTGTGTATGTAAAATAAATAAATAAATATTATGCAATGCGTTCTGTTTAGCTCTATCCTAAAGAAAGAAAGAAAGAAAGAAAAACGTTTATTCGCACATTTAAGTCACTTTACATCCCTAAACTATAAACATAACATTAAATTGATAGCTATTCATTAAATAATCTATAAATAAGAATGCAAAGTGACACAAAAGAGGAAAAGGAGACGACTCAGCAAAAAGTCTATCTCTGGCGAGAGAGACGCTGATTTTCAGTCGTTCCTGTTGCATCATCGACTGGATGTTGAGAGAGCGGTACATATTATTATGTTGTGTGTATCCTCTGTTGTGACATATATATTCTTAATTATTTTCAATACGTTCTATGCTATCCTACGTTCTGTGCTGTTAAAAAGTCGTTATTAATAAATAAATATTATACAAAAAAATGTAAAAAACATCAATTTTATCTAAGTGTTCGATCTTTGTATTAATAATTATAACAAAGTAATAGTGGAGTAATTTCACAAACAAATAATTTAATATCAATTCAATACAAAATTAATTAATAGTGACATCTCTGGCCAGGTCTTATGGCTGAGAACTTACCTAACTGGGTGACGAAATACATATATAGATGTCTCATAGATGACGCCACGGCTATAAGGTCGTTGAAAACCAAATACAAAGATCCGACAAACAAGCACATAAAGAAATTCGTGAGGTCCGCTGGTTCGTTCCGTTGCTTAGTTGGCAGAGCATTTCACAAAAACTAGCGGAGTAATTTCACAAAAAAATTACTGAATATTAATTCAATACAAATTTAACATCAATTTTGTTAAGATATTGAAAAACGAACTACAGATTTCTTCGGAGTAAACTGATTCTCAATATTTAACTCATCTTTAATTACAGGAATCATTAAAAGAGATCGCACGTTTGAACCAAAACGCAGGCGCGGCACTATACGGACTAACGAAATTCTCCGATATGTCTGCGGAAGAGTTTTCAAGCCGGATGTTAATGAAGGAAGGCTTGAACGATACCGGATGCGAGGAATATGACAAGCATTGTGATGGGTTGAATACAAGAAAACCTCGTGTATTTTACAACAAACACTTGCCTAGTAAATTTGATTGGTAAGTGTATAATAGCTACATTTATTGTTCGTGCGGTACCAAGGAATAATTTTGTTTTTATACTCCATTAATCTGTCAATTATAATTTCATAAACCATTATCAAAAGTCGCTCTTTTTAGTTCTGATCCAAAATTCTCTTGTCTTTGGTACTAGCTACTGAATCAAAATAGTATATTATGTATTAACATCGAGTATATTACCAGAAATAGAGATTTAATTTCAGTCAAGTTTCATAAGAGTCATTTAATTTGTTTGAAAACTATTCTGCCAAATCATTACGGTGACAACTGCGCTGCGATTGGCCAGCCCGAATTAGAAACAATTGACAGGTGTCGTCAATGGTTTCACTTTAAATCGACCAGTTTAACTTGAGCTTTGCTATAATGGACGACAATTGAAAAACTACATATTTCGTAATAATTTTCTCACACCATCGAATGGAACATCCTCCCATAGTTAGAGATATTATCTTTATTACAATAAATACAGAATATTTTTGGAATATACGGAGATGTACACACAGGTCAGTTGTTACCGCTGGCGCTGTACTATTTCAGCTTTCTAATTTGTGATGTCAGTGTAAACGAGAGTTGATACTTAAAAGGACTTTTTTGCCTGATTTGTCTGATGAGTTCCCAGGGATGGATGGCCCTTATTTCGTCTCCATTTCTGCTTATATACCCGATGTATATTAAGGACGTTAAATAAGAAATTGTTAACCAAGGTCCATAAGAAGCCCGAAGCCGAAAGCTGAGGGCTTTAATTACTCGAGTTTTGTATTTGTTTACCGTCCGTGACACACACTGAGGGGCGGTAGTGCGCACACGTATTTTGTGTAATATTTTACTTATATGGATTTTAAGACTTTCGTGGTTATTCACTAAATGATTATCACTAGTAACAGGTTTCTTACCACGGTATAACTTCTTTTTATTTTCCCGATATTTCGGAACGGTTGCACGCTCCATGGTCACGGGTTGACTGTAGTCAAGTCATTTAATATTTTACTTAATTAAAATTTTGTCAAGTCACGTAGTATGTTCTTCATCTTTCACCCATTAATCAATCATCACCCTAGTTCATAACTACAACACATTTACAATAATATATTATATAAGGCGGTAAGACAAACGTTATTTCAAATTGAATTTGTGGAACAGTTTTACGGCTATGGCAAATACCAAAAGCGCAAGAAAATACAGATTTATAGTGGTTACACACGGCGACTTTTTTATTTTTTTACACTTGCGATTTATAGGCTATTGCATCGACGGAAACGCGCGACTACATTGATACAAACGCGGAATTGCTTCGATACAAATGCGCGATTGTATCAATGCAATCGCTTAGAAATCACAGGTGTATAATTAGATTGCACACGGACGCTTTTTCAGTTGTAACAAAAATTAATACGAGCAATCGCGTGCGAAAGAACGTTAGCTTAAAGATTTCAAACATACTTTCATTTCAAACAAATTTCACCTTAATCAAGTACCACCAAATAAATGTTGCGATTTAAAGGCGATTGCATCGTTCCAAACGCGCGACTGCATCGATACACACGGGATTGCATTAATACAAACGCGCGATTGCATCAATGTAATCGCTTATAAATCACACAAGTACAGCGATGAAATAGCGCGTTTGTATCGATGCAGTCGCGCGGTTACATCGCTGCTTAAAATCGCGCGTGTGTGTAAAGGTAGACGATTAACTACTGCTAAAAGTTTCCGTGTGTAACCGCTCTTATATCTCTCCCTTGGCACAATAAGGTCACATCTGCAATATGAAAACTTTTCAAAAGAGAGGCTTAAAGATACTACGAACGAAATTAGTCGATAACTTTTTGTGCTTGTAGTTAAGAGACTTATTAAACTTTACATGTACTCAATTTGTTTCATTATTTCGTATTATTATTACGATTACCATGTGATAAAATCAGTTTTAATGTATGATCACATGTGGCTTTATTATGCCAAGTGTGTGATATGTGATTTCTACACTACGTATCTACGGCAAATTTACAGGCGTGACCATGCAGGCGTAGTGGGCCCAGTGCTGGACCAACGCGGTTGTCTCGCCTGCTGGGCCTTCAGCGTCGTGGGGGTTATGGAGTCCAAGATGGTCATCCAAAAGTCGAAGTACTACCACCGTTTGAGCGTACAGGTTGGTAATTTTTTTCAAATAAACATTTAAGACCAGACTAAATAAAATAAGGCAGTCGGTAGAGCACTGTGGGTATATTTATTGGTAAAGAAAACGGTGCACACAGATATTTATTTATTTATTAGGTTCACCAACATCTGTGTACAGTATTACTTACTATATCTTACATACAAGCGATGTAATTGATACAAACTTTTAGCGGTAAACACAAGATATTCGCGTTCTAAAACAAGTATAATATTTACATTAGAATACGTACCATGTAAGGCAAAGCAACAGTTTATTACACATTTGTAGGGAAATGGCAGGATACCAACCCTGAATTTCGATGGAACAATGTATACACAATAAGCACAAAGAAATACAATGACAATACTTTTATTGTAAAAATGGGGATTACTTAACTTACTGCTCAACAACTGGACTCAATAATTAAATTAAAATACCACCAGCTGTTAAGATTATTTTAGGTTGAAACACGAATTAGCAAACATTTAGATTCACCCCTGAGAATTAGAAATACTTATTATTTGTTGCCATGGTGATGGCGGGAATAGTGTTGAGGCTCTAGAGATGCGCTCAACACCAGCAAGCCCTTTTGTACAGAACAAATATTACTCCTGTGGTTGATGGTTTATCCAATCAGAAAATGGTATGCTTTGCAGTGTGACGACGATATAAATCCGTGTGTATACGAGTATATCTATATAAATAACATTTAGTTAGTATGATTTTTAAACAATATTGCTTAAGCCAAAACTATGACATATATATAAAAGGAAATACCTAACTTAAACAAGTACTACCAAATAATTTTATTACAGGAGCTGATAGATTGTTCGGATCTAACAAACCACTGTCATGGGGGCAACGTCGCGTTTGCAATGAAGTATTTGTGTAGAAACATGTTGCCCATCACTTGGGAAGAGCGGTACCCTCTCACGCTGGAAGATGAGAACTGCCGGTTCAAGCCTACAACTGGGGTACTGTTGGAGTCGTTTACTGTTCATTGGTGCGTATGGAAATAAATTATCCTTGTGACCTCCGGCTTAGAATAGAAATACCTTTATGATTCCCGCGGGTGTCGTACAAGGCGACTAAGGGATTAGCAAACAATGAGGATGGGCAGCAGCATTCTCGAGTATACTTGCATTCAAACTGCGATTGCTGACACACTAAATGATTTCACACAACTGATTTGATTTCATTTTGAGAGTTTTCGTTCAGCTTTCTTACTTCTTTAATTAACATTATATATCAAAACACACGGAATCCACACGGAATCTGTATGTGCCCATTTATTCCTCTTTGTTCAATTATACCATTTGTTCCACTGAAAAGTGGTCCCACTGGTGTAGTGAAAAACAACTTAAGAACAAACCCAGGATACAATCAGTTACGCTTATTCTGTAGGTATAATAGATTGCAGCTTTACTACGAACGCCTGCCATTATTGTTATCGGCGAATTATATATATATATAGGTTACACACAGCCACTTTTAGCAGCGATGCAAACGCGCGTTCGTGAATACTTACGATTTATAGGCGATACAAGCGCGCGATTCCATCGCTGCAATCCCAAGTGTAGCGATGTAGTCGCACGTTTGTATCGATGCAGTCGCGCGCTTGCATCGCTGCTAAAAATCGTGCGCGTGTTAGGTAGACGATTAGCGACTTCATCGCTGCTAAAAGCAACCGTGTGCAATCGCTTTAAGAATGGATATTACCGGATCGGATATTATCGGCGACATTCTGCATCAAATTTTATTACTATCGAAATCGTTACACATGGAACGTAGAGTCAAATTTAGAGGAAAAACAAATTACATTGTGGTAGTTAGTATCTTAATAAATCGCACCTTTGGTGTAATAAGGCCACATTTGCAAAATGACTACTTCAGGAGAAAGTTTAAAGTTTCTACGAACGAAATTTGTGGGTAACTTTTAATGCTTAAATACGATAAAATTTGCCATACATATATTTTTCTTCACGTACTTCGTTCTAATTTTATGACTTTCATGTTTTAAAAGCGCTTTCGACGTCTGATCACATGTGATTTTATTATACTAAGGGTACAAAATGTGCGCGTAATTCAACCGCCTATTTCAGACCAAATTTCTTCCCAAGTTTACTTTAGTTGAAAGTGTATTAGATTCGAGGGTGTTAGCTTCGATTATATCAATCGAATTTTCTTTTTCAGCAACGTACTAGCAATGAAGATTATCGACTTCATTGTCAATGAGGGCCCTGTAACGGCCGCCGTGAATGCTGAAAACTGGGTGCATTATCTTGACGGTATCATACAGTACCACTGCAGGTAAGCTTTTTACAGTTTTTGTGATGTCAAGAGACTTGCCCTAATGCGCCTAAAGAATTTAAGACTATTAAAATCTCTACTGAAGCAAATTAACCACTGTAGGATTAACCGTTCGGGCATTTCAGCTTTGGCAAATTTGTCTTTGTGCTATCGTCATTCGCGCAAATAAATCATCGCACTTTTAAACTTTCACGCAACCGTTTTTTAGTAACGAGTTTAGTAACTTCTATAATATGTTTTGCTCTCGCATGTGGCTTCGCATGTGTGCGCATGCGTGCGTGCTTGCGTGCGTGCGTAATAAGGAACTCACCACTTCCGTTTGGATATCCTCTAAGGTTTGGATCGCCGACGCGTATCACACTACGTCATTTTCGCTTTTATTACTAGATATAAAGATTTTTCTGACGGGCCTAATACAATTTAGTGTCGATAAGTATGACTCCCTTAATAAACAAATGTTACTAATAAACTTTTTTCAATTTCTAGTTCCTCACCATTGCGCCACGTCGTGCAAATAGTAGGATATGACTTTACGACCCAGCCGCCCCACTTTATCATCAAGAACTCATGGGGAAAAGACTTCGGCATTGAGGGCTACGTAAAAATTGCTATGGGAAACTTTATTTGTGGTATTGGAAAGCAGATTGGATACTTGAGCGTACGTTAATGATAAGTTAATACTGTAACATCCATGGCAAAGCGTGGTTTTTATGATATCAAGTAACGGGACGAACAACTAGTGCGCCTGGTGGTAAGCGCCACGCCTATCTATACCAGTTGCAGTGCTATTCATAGCTAGTGATGAAAGAGACTTAGGGTCGTATTCTAGAACTCTACTCAATGCTCAAGTCAGGATTTGAGTATGGTTTAAAGCACTCGAAATCATACTCAAGTCCCTTCCATTAGGTTCGTATTTCCAGTGCTTGAAATCATACATAATCAGATCCTGACTAGAGCATTAAGTAGAGTTCTGGAATACGACCGTCAGTCTTTTAACGCGTTTTATAACGACTCGACTTCATTTTCCAGGAGTCGACTTTAAAATTAAAACTGGGGGTTTGAGTTTTTATTAATAACACTCAGTCGTTATACTAAAAGACTCGAAAGACTTAAACGACTTGAACAACTTGAAAGACTTAAACGACTCGAGTTGTTTGCAAAGGACTTATACCTATTTTATGTCTTATTAAACCCGAAGTTTATAAATAAAAATGACGTAAGTAATATGTAGTAAATAATCACGTTTATTTACTTATAATAATAATCGTAAAATAAATACCTTGTGGGTAGAAATAAAATCACGCCATGCGGCTCACGACTCGCGACTCCCGAGGCTATGAGGCGCCAGTCGTTTTAGTCGTTTTAGTTGTTTCAGTCCTATAAGTCTTTTAAGCTTCCTAGGGTTAAAAGACTTCGACTCGAATTAGTCTTGGGTTTTAGTCTTATGACTCAAGATTTGAGGGTTAAAAGACTAGACTAGTCGTGAGGCGTTAAAAATTAGTCGAGGTTTTTTAAAAGGCTTTATAAATCCGAGTCTCTTTCATCACTACTCATAGCTTTAAATTGCAAAGATCTGACGAGCACTGCCGCGCCGCTGCGCTGGTCACCATTTTGATTTTGTTAGTTTCACCAACACTCTTAACCCTTCAAAACCGGAATACTCACATTGCTGCTTAACGCCAGAAATTAAATAAGGTGGCAGTAGGTACTTCCTTGGACGTAGGTACTCATGCACAAGTACATGTACACAAACAATATACAGGACAAACAATTGACCACTATCTATTTCCTGTTTCTACCTACGTGAATCGAAGAACAGTCGAGCTTGTCCGCAATAATTCACAGGATGCTGTTGCAGGTGGCTCCAACTCTCCAAATCAGGGATGTGTATCGTTTCGACGTTACCTAAAGCAATGCTCTAAGGTTTATTGCTTCTGGGGTAACCCATTGTGGTGAAGAAGCAATAAACTTGCGTTTCCAACACTCTCCAGGATCTAGATAGCCCCATTAGCATCATAATAACCACAAATTACACCCAAACTCACGAGAGAAATAAATATTTCTCTCGGCACGGTAATCAAACCCGGGATCTCTGAGTGGCAGACCAGTATGGTAACCGTTCGGCTACGGAGGCAGTTAAATACATAACAGTGAGTAGAGATGTACTTACTTATTTTACAACTTCAAACCCAACACGCGTCATACAACCACACTACGGAGTTCCTAATGACTTAGTTTTTTTTATATAAATTATTATTTTTTCAATAATGGTGGATGAAAATACAGCTGCGTGTTACAGACACCGTGTGAAACCTTTATGATTACGGGTTAACTGAATATAAATTATTTGCGGGTTAATCGAATATCGATATTACTTGCCTGTAAACATGTGTGGCCATAATAATAAAACTGATGTTTTAGAAGCAGTAGAGCTATTTGTGAAACAGTTCGTCCAGGGAAGTAGTGCCACCTTAACTATTTCTGCCGCCAAGTAGTAATGTGAGCACTATCACACATACTTACACTCACACACTCACACACTCACACACACACACACACACATACACACACCAGACATACATTTTGTTAATTGTTAAGTGCTTACGTTTCAAGTCATAAAGTATTTCCGTGGTGGGGGGGCCTGGAAGCTATAGCACAGGTTTCGACCTAGTTTAGATTCCAGCTTCCTCACGAACTATAATTAGCTAATACAACTAGTACTTATTAATATATGTAACAAGAATTTTGTAGTTTGTGATGGTACAAAATAAACTATTTTTCATTGCGTTTCGGTTTTGATGGGTAAGGGTGGTGATAAAACTACAGGCAGACTTGTCAATTTTATGTCTCAAGGTGCAAGGTCGGTCAATTTAGGGTCCATTGAAAATCATCGTCACAGTCTTTGCTCGGCTGTAGCTGAGTGGATCCTTTTACATACGCTACAACCGCACACATGACATTTATTCAAATTGAGTTGACTGTTTAAAAGAATTGTATGGCTTCATTGTTTTTTTTTGATATTTTATTTTTTGTTTTACTTTTGCTTTGTCTTATTTTTATTTCTTACTGTACATTATTGTGTTGTGGCGTTCCTTAAATGAATTATATTCTATTCAATGCAATGCCCCTGTTTTTATCGATTTAAAGCTCTGAGTGTCACTGCAATTGTTATGGGTTAGCATGTCGCTTTCCATCAGGTGCACGACTTGTTGATCCCGCCCGACACTTGACAGTCTTAAAAAATGTGATAAATATTATATTGTGCCTCGGATCTAATCTGTTTTATATACAGTATAAATAAATAAATATAACTTCCTAATAGAAGGGACATATATATAGTTTTCTAATGTAATAAAATATTTTCATGAAAATTGTTGCGTTTTATTACGTGAATACATATTCAAGCATATATGATTTGATAATGATGATGACTAGCTGAAAAAAATTGTCTCCATTTAAAACAAATCAAAATATTGACCCTACCCATTGACTTACAAATAAATGGACGACGGGTCTAATACACAAACCACGAAAAAA